ACATGTATATATTTTTGCATAGAACTCATTCTTTCATGAAACTTCATTAAACCAGGATTTCTCTTGGTATAGCCACACTCATCAAGATGTATTGTTAATCTGGTTAGCCACTCTGCTGAGCTTTAACGTCACATTCAGCTTTCATGTTTGCCTGAAAGTTGACCAAATGAGAATGATTTCTGCTGATGTGTTTGACTAAAAGTCAGATTTATGAAAACGAGAGAGAACAAGAAGACAAAACGCTGTAGAAAATGAAGCCAAGGGCAGAGAGAGAGAGATTAAAAGAATCTGAGGTTAGAGAGGGAAGAGGGAGACGGGATGTTGGAGATTAAATTTGACAGAGAGAGAGAGAGGTGAGGATGGAGGAATTAAGGGAGGGAAAACAGGTAGAAGGGTTTAGATAGCTCGAAGAGAAGTTCAAGTGAGATGGCCATATTACAGCTAAGGGAGAAGAGGAAGGAAGGAAATGGGAAAGATCAGAATAAATCAAGGATGGACCGAGTGGAGGACAAAGAGAGGTGGGAGGTGAGGGACAATGTGAAGGAGGAGGGATACTAATAGGAAGTGTTGAAGCTGGAGCTCAGGTTCTGTTGCACCACATGTCAAGTCGGGATGTAAAGGCAACTAGCACGCTGCGGCTAACTCGTTAGCTTCGTCCCTGTCAGCACCACAAACATAATCAGTCCCTTCAATTTTTCAGTCTTTTCGCAGCCAAATATGTTCACCAATAATCCAAACACGCTCAGTTTATATTGGAAAGTGACAAATGAATCATCGTGCATCCCAGCTGTGTGTTTCTCCTCTGCAGGACTTATTAAACCAGGGTCAGACTTGAAATGGATCATTTTTCAGTCGGGGTGAAGGCGTAGGCAGCCGAGAGCAGCTACTGCAGCTGGAAGAATCTCAGGACTCAAATTAGGAAGAGCTGTCTTATTTTCAGTCACATAAATATCCAACAACACGTGAATCCTGTTAACAGTAGCCATTAGAGTTCAATATGAAATTAAATCTACTCAGGAGGGTGACCTAATCTGGAAGTACAGTTTCATTTCTCATTTTCAGGATTCAGTATGGCTGACATGGTTATTTAATGCTGCTACAGTCTGAAGCAGAACAATTCTCATTAAATGCAAACAAATATATCCAGAGCGCCGACCTTTGTTTTCAGATTGTGTGATGGTCGTTAAATTGAGACATAGCACACATTGTCCTTTTTCTCAGATGTGTTGAAGCAAATGTTGCAGAAACAGCTCAGCGCTGCAGCTGCTGTACAGTTTATAAGTTTAGATTTAAATTCAGTTCGTGTTTTGTCTTTTGCTTTTGAAATGAAATAGAAAAGAAAAAAAAGGAGATTTAATGCAAAAGGCTTAAAAAGACTTTACACTGACAGCAACTTTCACTGTGGGTTAGTTAGGTTCACATTAACTTTATATGATCTTTATATTTTATTTTAGCTATGAGCATTAAATCTGAAATTGCCTGTTTATGACATTAAGAGCTACTTGAACATTAGAAACCAAACTCCTGTGCAAGAGTTAATGAGAGAAGTAGCTCTTTTTTTATTTTAACGCTGAGGTATCTCAACTTTCTCAGACGTCTTCATGTTTGTGTGACTAAAAGTTTTACAGTCATTGAAATTATAATAACTATTATCTCCAAAGTCACTGCAGCTTCTTGGTCTCAACAAAGAGCTTTAAAATCCACCTCAACATCACGAGTTCAGATTGTACCTCAGTCTTTCCTTTTCCTCTTGACTGTATAGTATCTAACATAATTAGATCTGCAGCGATTAATCAATTAACAGAAAATTAATCAGCAACTATTTGATGTAAATCTTAAGATTTTTGACTATTGGTCAGACAAACTGAAGACATCACCTTCGGCTTGGAGCAGCTATACATGTTTTTTTTTGACTAATTGATTAATTGAGTAAATAATCAGCAGATTAATTGATAATGTCTGAAGTTGGACCAATTTTTTTATTACATACGATGTTCCTGCAGTTTTTACCCCGATCAGTTTTTCTGTTACTCAGCTCAGATCTTCTCATGAAAGCAGTTGCAGATTCGCTCATTGACACAGTGTGCGTGTGTGTGTGTGTGTGTGTGTGTGTGTTTGTGTGTGTGTGTGTGTGTCTGTGTGTGTGTGTGTGTGTGTGTGTGTTTGTTTGGTAGTGAATGTGACAGGGGACAGGTGGAAAAAGCAGGCAGCTTGTGTGTGTGTGTGTGTGTGTGTGTGTGTGTGTGTGTGTGTGTGTGTGTGTGTGTGTGTGTGTGTGTGTGTGTGTGTGTGTGTGTGTGTGTGTGTTTGAGGCGCGAGGTGGCCGAGACCATGTGCCTGACCTCTGACATCCACACGCCAAACAGCGCTGGCAACCCCTAGCCCCCCCAACCCCACCTCCCCTCAAACATACACACACACATAAACCCACGCGCCGTCTGTCACCGGCCCCTGACAGGCGTGACCGAGGCGGGGTGGGTGGGCAGAGAGGAGGGAGAATGGAGGGAGGGGGTGAGTTTAGGACCCCTCCAGCCATTCTATCCTCCTGCCCCCCCTCACTCATTCCCCCTTTTCTAATTCCCTGACAGTGACCCTGCACCCCCCCACCCCCCACTGTTCCCTAACACACACAGAGGCAGCCTGGCCATGTCAACCCCAGAAGACAGATACATCATCTGCCCAGTGGCCTCTCTCTCTCCCCCTCTCTCTCTCACCCCCTCTCCCTCTCTCTATGCTATTAGCACAGATAGGATGAGTAGGGGGGGGGCTTGCATTCGAGCGGCTGCTGTCAAACTGCCCCCGGGGTGGAAGAGTGTGTTAGGACGGTGGTCACTGAAACTTGAAGGGACATTTTACACTGAAATCAGCTTGTTGAAAATATAGAATCAGTCAAAATCAAAGAGATTGTGGACAAACACTCACACACATACACACACACACACAAGTAGCTGCAGAGATGTGTGTGTGTGTGTGTGTGTGTGTGTGTGTGTGTGTGTGTGTGTGTGTGTGTGTGTGTGTTTGGCTTGGACTCAAAACCTGATCAGGGAAAAATAAAATTTAATGTGTTCTGGACATCTGTGACATTTGGGGTTTGGTGTGTTTGATTTGTTAGCATATATGAGGTGGCTGGGATGGATGGGGGGTGGGGGTTAAAAGGCCCCATGGCCAGAGGGGTTAGGGGCAGTTGAGGCGTTATGGTGAGAGGGGGTGGGGGGGTGGAATGATAAAATGATTTTATGGGGTCCCTCTCTTCATATGCTGAGAGGATGAAGGAGCCTGGAATAATAAGGTGTGTGTGTGTGTGTGTGTGTGTTTGATGCAGCATTTAAATAAATAGTTTATTTCAATAGTGTGTTTCTGAAGGTTTGTTTGTTGTGGTGTTTATACCAGCTTGTGTTAGTGATAGTAAATATTTTTAATGATGCACTATTTAATTTATCAGCTGACACTAGTTTATATGCTCAGTAAAATCATACACACATTAAGTTTGGTTAACAACATGGAGACGTGTAAATACATCTTAGTTAATTCAGTAGTAATATGGATTAAAGTTAACTGGATTGGATTTGTGGTTTTCTGCTGATTTGGTGACAGTAAGTAATAAATTAATAATTAAGTTAATTTGTTGCGGAGGGACAAAGTAGTTCATAGCTGTTGATAATTCTCGACTCCTGTCGATGGTTGGGCTTTAGATAGGTAAACAATTGATAGAGTTAATGTAACTTAAAGTGTGTATTCAAAATGTTTTCATCTCGCTGAAGATTATCACGTGAAGTTTAGTTTGGAGGTTATAATTTATATACCAGGTCATTCATTTACTTCAGCAGAGACCTTGTTTCCGAATGTTACTGCAGCTGTTTACACCCTCAGATCTATTTCTTCTTACCTCAGAATTATTACTGTTTAAACAAAGATATTTTTTCAGATGACTTATTACTGTGTAAGGCGCTCGTCCACCGACACACACTCCTGCTCAGCATTTCCAAGAGGGGGCTGCCCCCGTCTGGTTCCTTTATGAAACTGCGCACTCTCCACTTGTAGAGACATTGATTCAGGCTGTGAAGAAAATGTATTTTCCTTTAATTACATTCATCCAGAAACATATTGGTTTCTGCATTTTGAACAAAACAAGGTAATGAAACTTACAAAATGTTATTTGAATGGATAACAAACATTTAGAAAATGATATTAATGACACCAGCTACTTTATATTCATATTGACCAAACAGCTGTTCTTAAGATAGTTTTGGAGGATAATTACCATGTAGGTTGAGGTTGACACTAATGTATGTAATTATGGACAAGACAAAGGAGTGAAGTCAAACCTGAAAAGGAGAAGTGTAAACACAAGTCCTTCTCTCTTTTATTCTACCTTTTTCTTATTTTTTTCCCCCCTAATTTGCTCTGCACTTCTCTCTTTGTCTTTGTCTTTCTGTGTCCTGCTCATTCATACCCTCCTTCCTTCCTCTCCACCTCCTCTCATCACACCTTGAACTTGTCTGTGACCCTGATGATGAGATTACCACACACACAAACACAAGCACACCGCACACACAGACACACACTCCCTCACACTGGCCTTACATATAATTTCTACTAAGCCTTTCTTCTTCTTTCTTTTTCAAGTGTGCTCATCTTACATTTTCTACAGTATATCAAACAGAAAGTGTGGACGTGTGTGTGTGTGTGTGTGTGTGGGTATAAAGGCAGCAGTGAGGCAGCAGGACGGAAGCTGGAGTTATAATTATAGCAAGGAGGAAGAGTAGCAGGGTAGAAGATGTTGGCTGCAGTTTTATGGGGTGTACTTTGATTATCTTCCCACCTCAGCTCGCTGTCAGACGCATGAACCTCGTGTCAAAGTCAGAACATTCTCACTGTGTCTCTATCGACATGTCTCCTCTCTGGTCGAGTCCTGGGCCGAAGAGAAACAATTTCTAAAAGCACAAGAAGGACAGATGTGAAGAGCTTAGAGCAGGGGGTGAGGAAGGGTTTCATCCAAGATGGCGGCGGCGGCGGTGGTGCTGAGTAATGTCTGGTGCTCAGGTAAGCACTTCCTCTGGCGTCGTGCTTCCTGGACCAATTACTCGTGCAATCCCAGAAGTCACCACAAAGCGGGGGTAGTTAGGATGGAAAAGCTGATTCCTCACCGCAGTGTTGCCTCCTGGGGCAATAAAGTTTACATTTAAAGAACCAAATTAGAGAACGGTATCATCATTTTTGTTGCTCAAGTATAAAGTTTTTGCTCAGCAGCGTTTTCCTCTCGTCATGTTTAATGAAAACAGGGTGAAATTATCAGCCAGGGTCATTTTTAAAAGTCTCATCTCGTCACTGCTGCACTGTTTTGTCCAAGCCCTAACTTTTCACGAACCAACAGGAACATCTTTGGTTTTATCTCGACAGTGATGTATTTCAGATTTTATCCCAGCTTTCATCACCAGCACTGCAGTTACAAGGTTATCACAGAACAACAGCCATTTCATTCTATTTCCACTTTTTATTTTGAAAGAACAAACTTTTTCTAATAGATATTCCTTGAAATTATTTGTTGCAGTCGGACCAAAGTTTTCTCTCTATTATTTGGAATTCAAGAGCTCTCTGACAGTATTGATCCACATCGACCTTTGACCCGAAAAACAGGAAGAAGTTGACCTCTCGTTCAGGAAGCGTTGATTGTTTGCATTCTTTTTTGTGTGGTGAAAGAAAACAAGAAGCGGGGGGGGGGGGGGGGGGGGGGGGGGTAGTGAGTGGGTGGACAGTTTTAACATTAAAATGTGAATATCTTAATATCACAGTGAAAATGTGATTTTTTTTTTTTTTCCTGTGTTATAAACAATCATTTCTGCAGTTTAACACGAGCTGGAAATATGTAGGTTTTATCAGTTTTCTTTTCACAGTAAAAACCAAAAGTTGTTGTAGCTGAAACATAGTATTTTTTTTTTATTTATTCTTAAAACTAATTTGTTAATGGGTGACATAATTTTTCCTCCAAAATTATTATAATATATAATTGGATTGATTACAGCACAACTGTAGGATGCCACACATGCATTTCATATACAAATATTTATATGCAAATTATGATAATTAAAATGCTTGGAATTATTTGAATTACAAAAGTTTAAAATGATAATAATAATTTTATATGACAACATATTATTTTGTCATTTGTCATCTATCTCATGTTTAATTTCCATCAACAACATTAATAACGCTTTCACTGCTGTGTATTAAAATGTTGGGTTTTTTTATTCTGTTTAGTGTGTCTTGACCAGGGATTTGAACCAGCAACCCTCTGCGTCTCTGACACCTATCACCTTCGGTAGCATGATATTACCTGTATGTGTATGTGTGTATTTTGTCTGATGTGTATCTGTGTGTGTTTCCTGCAGATATCAGGATGTCTAAAGCAGCAGAGGAGGAGAAGCCTGGGGCTGACTATCCAGGGGACAGTTCAGGTACAATACACACATGCACAATACACAAACACACACACACAGGTATTTTATAATGTTAATACTTATAATACTTATTTACTTTACACATGTCTAATCCTGGTCAGTAAGCTTTCACTATTTATTTCAATGTCCAGGTATTTGATCAGGCATGAACATGAATTCCTTAATTTCACCTCACAATCTGATCTTATCATCCTCTCTTATCCTTTTCCAGTGAATTTAATTTGATTTATATGACTCACACTCACACACACACACACACACACACACACACACACACACACACTGTAATAAACAGTTGATGTGTCCCTTTGTGTTTCAGACTCTGACAGAAACAGCCCTGATGACCAGGTTAGTTTTCTACATTCATTCTGAACTCTTGACTCCAATGATACTGAGCGCGTTGTTGAATCATAGACTATGATTTTTGCAACTGTAAATTAATGCAATGCAGTAAATATATAAATAAATTCACTACATTAACAATATTTGTATCAAATCAAAATGTTACTTCACTGTTCATGTAATCATCTCTCATGTAATGTGATAGCTTTAAATCCTTACTGAAAATGATTTATCAGCTGTCAGGACCTTTTTCCACGCAGTATCAGTGTTTTTGGGAAACTTTATTTCTTGTGAACTGCAATTAACTTTTCTTCTCTTTTTAAATTATCTCTCAGTATTTTTGGGAACATCTTCATGTCTCTACAATTGTTGTGGTTTTGTTGAATTTCTAACGAACAGTGTCAGCAGTTTATTACAGGGAGGGAGTAGCTGTGATTCATTGTGACACATTTCTGGATGGTGTTTCATCTTCCCTCTGAATCTGTCACCAGATCATACTGATGTGTGTGAGTTTTGTTTTTTTTTCCACTTGCTGCAGGTTCAGCCAATGAAAAGCAGCCCCTTCAGCTTCTCCCCCACACCAGCTGGCAGCAAGGTGAGCAACTTCATAGATGCAATGTGTGTGTGTCCGTGTGTCTGTGTGTGTGTGTGTGTGTGTGTGTGTGCGTGTGCATGTGTGTGTGCGTGTGTGTGTGTGTCATTCTCAACAATATTTGCTGTCAACAGCTACCAGAAATACCAGAAATCAGTATCAGTTAAACCTCTATGTGTGTGTGCTGATTCATTATTTTTTGCTATGGAGCCAAGCCAAGACATTTGCTTATAATTCTACTTATTTTTTTAAATATTATGTATGGCCATTTTTTTGGTGTCAGGATATGGATTTCATAATGATAATAATAACTTTATTTATAGCACCTTTTAATAACAGTTTACAGAGTGCTTTAACAAATGAATCAAAAGCAATGATAGTCAAAAGCAGGACAGAATTAAGGTGGAGTTACAGAGGGAGGACAAACTATATGCTTCAATATAATTAAGGACAATTTGAGCAGATGCCGCATGGAGACACACACACGCAAACACAGTAAAAGCAATAAAAGGGCGATATGGAGATGATAAAAAGACAACTTCACACACCAATAAAAGCCTATAGTAGTCTATAAAAATGAGTTATAAGAAGTTATTTAACAGACGTCACTGATTCTGAAATCATTCATGTGTGTTTTTGTGTGTGCATGTTGAAAACAACAATTCCTACCTGGATGTGGCTTTGTCTGCACCCCAGCATGTAAAGATGTGATTATGTGTATGTGTATGAACTTGTACATGTGAGGACATGAATGCTGTGGTTTACGGGTTTGTCGTCCGGGGGGAGACTCTTGTAGACAACATCGAACATGCAGATCAGGTGACCTTATCCACTCCCACCTCACTGAGGAAGCCAAGAGCCCAGAGAGAGAAGGCAGAAAGAGACAAGGATGCAATGCAGTGACAGTGAGTGATAGACGTAGAGATGTACGGCAGTACGGTGGTAATGGACGGGTAATGACAGGACTGTGAGCAGGTAACGACAGCTAGTGGTCAGAGGTCAGCAGCTTTGGAATGTTTAGAGGAGGATTGAGGCGTCTTCCTGGTCAGATGACCGGCAGACACTTCGACCTGTGACTCACAGGTAAGCAGCAAGACAGAGAAAGAGAAGCTGAAGTATCTTTGACTTTGGCTTTTTGCTTTTCACCTGCACAGTCTGCTTCATCTTTTCATGAGAAATATGTTCCCTTAACTCTAAATTTGCTTTAAAACCACGACTGTATGTGAGAAAACTGGTTTATCTGCTTTGCAGCACTTGTAATTATGATTTTTAAAATCGCTTTCCAGCTTATCACTCACTCTGTGTTTTGTATCTGAGACAAAGTAGGAGTGGCAATAGAGATATGATAGAAATTAGGTCTAATTAGGCGCGTTTGTTCCTGCACAGTGGCTACAAAAATAATCTGTGAGCCTGGCTTTGATCACTGAAGTGTGCACAAACTGATTGACATTTATTTACAGTTATGTTCACTGCTGTGGAGTCAAAGGAGTGAACGTATAAAAGAATAAATCTCTTAAAGAATAAGAAAATAAATCTGGAAATATAAACAGGGATAAATAAAGGAACAAATAAGTAAATTAAAAAATTTGAAAATATAAAGCATAAAAAATACTTTTACCCTATCGCCTTTGCTTTTCCCTATTGCCTTTGTTTTTCCGTATTGCTTTTGCTTTTCCCTATTGCCTTTGCTTGGGGAATAAGGAAAATCAAAAACAATAGGGGAAAAGCATTTCTTTTATTCTTTTATATATTCCTTCACATCTTTTAATTTACTTATACCTTCCTTTCCCCTTTTGCCTTTGCTTTTCCCCAAGCAAAGACAAAAGGAGAAAAGCAAAAGCAATAGGGGAAAAGCATTTTCTTTATTCTTGTATTTTTCTTTATATTTTGCCTTTTTTTTTTCTTTTTTTTTAATTCTTTTATTTATCCCTTATTTTTTGGCCTATTTGGCACTCCATACACTGCCTCCGTCCACAGCAGTGTCACACTACTGGTTGTGTTTTGGGATTTCCACCTTTATTTCTCATTAATGAGACGATGATGATCATATCAGGGTTAGACTTGCAGGATTTTTGCACACAAAGGCTTTGATAACAGAGGGACATATTTTATGGATTTCAAACTCCCCCGACCTGAAGTTTAATGTCTATAATTACAGAAACGTTTTCTTGCAGCTTTGTGTTTAACAGCACTTAATTTATCATACACTCCCACATTGATTTAAGAAAACAGTTGGCTCCAGCAAAACACAAATCTAGTCAGATTGTCCACAGCAGATGACAATAGTTGTATTTAGTGTAGTTGTGTGTTTCAGTGTTTGTGTACGTAAATATATATAATATATATATATATATATATATATATACATATATATATATATGATGCAGCAGGTTGCTTCCTTGGATAAACGCAGTTTAAACAAATGACTGTCGCTAAAAGAAAAAGTCCCTTTTTATTTCTCCTTTAGGGAAAGAGCGAAGAGAGCTCTGAGATGACCCACAGCACTGTAACTCCTGCTCCTCCTGCACCTCCCTCCCATCAACAGCAGCAGCAACAGACCCAACACCACCACACACAGCTGATGCTGGCTGGCAGTCAGCTAGCAGGGGTAAGAAAATGCCCCCTTCTTTTTTCAGTATCAATGGTGTATGTCTATATTAGACAAGAAAAATGCTTTGGAACTATAGCAGCACCTGACAACTTAGTTCATCGCTTCATAATGTGGTGTAGTAATCTACAATCCAAACAGAAGAAACTTTCTTTATTTGACAGACAGTTTTGATGACCTGTCAAACAGCCCCAGTTTCATTTCATTTCTTTTTTTATGTTTGATAGTTCATATGGTTTATAAGTAAGAACAGAAGAAGTTGCTAAATATGAGAATCCAGTCCAGTTTTCAGTTGGCCCTCAGCTCATTTTACTTCTCTGGCACTGCGCAAAACAACCCAGAATCCGGAGATGTCGTTGCCCAAATATTTCAAACTATGACCCTGTGTGTGATGAAATCACGGCATTGTGTCATTGTCAAAGAATTTCCAGATATGATCCAGATTCTTGCAAGAACCTCAAAAGGATATCTCTGGATTCTTGGGGTTTTGGTGCAGTGTGGGATTTGTCTGATGTCTAAACTTTGTCACTTAGGTAACTTTGAAATGAACCATTACGTTCATGATGTTCAGTTCAGAGTAATTTTGAGACTCCTAGCAGACAGGAACATATTCTCATGTAAGTACAAGGCTGCCCTGCCCTGTAGGACAGGAAAACACTTGCACAATTTCTGGTGAAGTCTTCCAGGGAACTGTATTTGCATTTGGGTGAAATACCTAAGAATTCTTTAAGCTAAGTGGGTGGCTTTTCTTGCTTGTCTTGCTCTGGCATGCTTTTACTGTACAGATTCACCTACACCTCTAATCCTGGAACGCTTAACTGACACTGCTCTTTCTTCTCCCCCCGGACTTTCTTTATGTCTCCACTCTTGCCTTCATTTTATTCTTTCCTTTGCGTTATCATCTCTCGTCCTTTTGTTGCCATACTTCTACTTTTTCCATCCCTTTTCCCCTTGCATGTTTACATCTTTATCTCATTTCCCATGACCATCCCCATTGCCACCATCTTCATCCTCCTCCTTTTGCTCTCCCCCAGCTTGCCGCTCTCCTCCCGGCCCAGCAGCAGCTCCTCCTCCAACAGGCTCAGGCTCAGCTCCTGGCAGCCGCCGTTCAGCAGTCCAACGCTGCGCACGCCGCTCACGCTGCCCACGCCGCCGCGCAGCAACAAGCCAACCAGCAACAACAGCAGCAGCAGAACCAGTCACAGTCCCAGCAGCAACAGCAGCAACAGCAACAGCCAACCAAACAGGAGCAGACAGTCCAAGCCCCGCCTCCTCCTCCACCACCGCAGCTGGCCCTGTCGCAGCCAATCCAGCTCACAGCGCAGGTAGGAGCGGGCAGGGATTCAATGAACAGCATGTACATGTTATTTATGTATTTATTTTAAATCCAGTTTGTTAAGGAATGACATTTCTAACAATGACATTTGTTAGAAATAATCATCCAAACAAAAAACACATAGACTACAACATACATAGTCTAATGTTCATGACTATAAAGATCTATACATTAAGATTCAGACCATTTTATTGTTACTTTTTTTGGGAGTTTCTGAATGTTTTCACTTGTTATTTTTGAGTTCAACTCTACTCACTTTTCTTCATCTCTGGCATCAGTTTAGTATTTTGGGGGGGCTTTTTTATGCCTTTATTCGATAGCACAATAGAGAGAGACATGAAATGGGGAGGCAGAGACATGCAGTAAAGGGCCGTCCGATGCCAGATTCGAACCGGGGCCGACTGCAGCGAGGACTGTAGCCTCTACATATGGGGCGTCCACTCAACCCACTGCGCCACTCGACGCCCCGCATCAGTTTAGTTTTAATGTTTGATTAAATTTTTTTTAATTGATTAGAAGACTCTTTTTGTGACATAGCCTGGTGTATTCCTGCACTTTACTGAAAGATTTTTTTGTATTTTATTTATTTATACTTTATTTAATCAGGAAAATAAAATAAATAACGGAAATACAATTTTTCAGTGATTTAAATATACATTCAGACGTGTATCCATACAAACAAGTGGACATGTGTTCATATGTGTTTGTGTTTGTTGCAGGACATCCAGCAGCTGTTGCAGCTCCAGCAGCTGGTGCTGATGCCGGGTCATCCTCTCCAGTCTCCTGCCCAGTTCCTCCTGTCGCAGCCAGCCCAGGCGCAGCAGCCACAGCAGGGTGAGGAGACAGAGGAAACTCCTGGTTCTCTGTTTTAAATATTATAAACACGCGCTCATATCCACACAATAGTTAATGCTTAGATTAAATGAAAGTAAATATAAAGTGACCCCTTCAACTGGTGGAGAGGCATTCTGGGCAAGAACTGCTGTATTTTGGCAAAATGAGACATGTGTTTTATTTTTCAATTAAAAGAAAAATATTCAGTGAACATTTGTCTTTTTTTTCCTGGTGTAGCATTTCAGCATTTTTGTTCCTTGCTTTATTGATTGATTCATTGACTTTATTGTCCACCTCAGTGGGAATTTGTCTTTGGCCTCTCCCAAAGAAAGTACAGTAAAAATACATTCAATCCGCATAACAAAACAGTGCAAATGAGCAGGTAGCAGCAGATAGGTTCAATAAAATTGCTGCTGTTGGTTTGTTTAATGTAATAATTTGATTGGTTTGTTTTTATTTTCACAGGTTTGCTCTCGACACCAAATCTGATCCAGCTACCTCAGCAAAGCCCAGGAGGACTACTGACAACACCACCTCGCCTGGGACTTCAAGCACAGGTAGGAAATCCACCTGCAGAATGTAAAACACACTTGATTATCCTCCAAGTCTTTCTCTGCTTTAACAGATGTGTAACAAAGCAGCACAAGATACTTTAAATTTAAGCAAATAGCTGATCTCTGCTGCACAAATCAATTTTTCCAGTAAAAAAGTTCAGTATAAAATCTATTTTTATTACAGGTTGTTTTCATAATAGATGCAGTTCCCAATGAGGATCTTCAGTCTTGATTAATATATTCACACCCAAGTCAAACAGCTCACCCTGTGTCCTCAGCCTGTATCTTCTATAACGTAGCGCTTGAATGCATCCTCACACATGCAAAGGGCCGTTATAGATTTTTTCATTAAGCTGTGATGAAGTCATATAAACCACAGCGGCAGATGTTCCCTCTTTCTTCATGTATGTTATGCACAGAGACGGTGAATGTAAATGAGGCAGATTTCATGCATGTTGTCCGGTCAATTAGTTGATTTTCCCAAAGCTCTCAGGGTCACATTCTTGCTTTGACTTACTGTATACGACCTTTATAGTTAACTAAGCAAATATTAAAGTCGTAGTATTTTTTCTGCTGTTTAGAATAATTGATGGATGTTGTTTTTTGTGTCTGACATCTGTCAAATCTGTATCATTTGTCAAAACACACAGGGTCAAATGACTGTTTTTTATGCATTTTTCCAGCTGATTATCTTATCCGTATTCACTCCCCACTTTATTTCAGTACCTGGAAAGAGAAAATAACATTTTCTCAGATCCAAATTTAACAGTCGACCATTCACTTCTCCATCTTCCTGACATTACAGAGGGAGAAGAGCAGTGATGTCGTGGTTGGCGGAAGCGGCGGCAGCAGCGGCTCTATAGTTGCCACTGGCAGCAGCGGCGTTGGTGTCGTGACGTCTGTCGGAGCCACGTCTGCGTCAGGCAGCGCCATGGCTTCCTCACTGAGCTCCAGCTTGACCCCAGGAAGCCACGGGGGTCACATGGGGGAAGAGCCAAGCGACCTGGAGGAGCTGGAGCAGTTTGCCCGTACCTTCAAACAACGACGCATCAAGCTGGGATTCACACAGGTAACAGACAGAGATGAGAGGAAGGTTTACATGAGTGTGTGTGTGTGTGTGTGTGTGTGTGTGTGTGTGTGTGTGTGTTTGTGTGTTTGTGTGTATGTGTGTATGTGTGTGTGTGTATGGTGACACTTTCTGTATGTTTCCATCAGGGAGACGTCGGCGTGGCAATGGGAAAACTGTACGGCAACGATTTCAGCCAGACCACCATCTCCCGCTTCGAAGCTCTCAACCTGAGCTTCAAGAACATGTGCAAGCTGAAACCACTGCTGGAGAAGTGGCTGAGTGACGCAGGTGAGTATCTGACACTGTTCAGAGCAGGTGTCAACACTGGTCTGTCATCCCCTCCACCTGAGATGAACATGAGATCTTTCTATAAAAAAGTTGAGTTATTCATTTTACATGATTTTAAAATTTTAGAAATGACTCTGACTTTTGAAAACACAGATGCACAGATGAATTATTTTTGGTGGAAATAGTATTAACTACAGACTCTTGCTTTAAACAATTACAGTTATTTTTTGCTACTATGTTAATTTGCTATATCTGTAGTGTAGATATTTCTATACTGTTTATTCTATTTAGAGATAGGACTCAGCAATACTGTGTGTCAGAAACAGCACTATAAGTCTAAAGTTATCAATATAATTTTTTTAAATTGACATCTCAGTTAAATATAAAACCTGTGATCACTCTTTCACTTCAAACAGAGTCTTCTTGTCTCCACTGCTGTTTTCCTCTTCTGTCTGTTGCCCTGCATGTCTTCATGTCTCTGTCTCTGTCTCTGACAGAAACCATGGCAGTAGACAGCATGCTGCCCAGCCCCTCCTCTATCTCCTCCCCCATGTTGGGGATCGAGGGGCTGCCCGGCAGACGCAGGAAGAAACGCACCAGCATCGAGACCAACGTGCGCGTGGTCCTAGAGCGCAACTTCAGCACGGTAAGAGATAGATAGATAGATAGATAGATAGATAGATAGATAGATAGATAGATAGATAGATAGATAGATATTTTAAATCTACATTTTAATTTAATACATTTTAGATAATTTAGATCTATAAATAGATAATAAAATAAATATGCATATAAACATCAATGGTATAACTATAACTATAAACTTTAAATTGTCAATATTGCACATATTTCTAACAGATATGAGAATGGTATATGGAAATTAGACCTGTATACAGAATCATTCAGGTTTCAGCTTTTTGGAAATAATAAATTTGATGATTAAAACAAAAGTAATAATTTTATTTATGTAAACTTTTCAAGCAACTGTCACTCAGAGGAGGAGAACTGGACTGGAGTGCAATAATGAGAGATATGGCACCCCAACAACTGCATTAATTATACACTCACTTTATTAGGGACACCTGTAGCTGAATTAACACCTGTGTCAGCTACAGCAGTTAGTTACATCATACACATCCATATCATTCATACTCACAATATGTAACACAACCAACACCAACTGAAAGCCTCTCTAATACATAATACATACATACATACATACATAATAGCTCTATTTAATAATTTCATTTCTTTAATAACTGAGAAAAGAAATAAATGAAAATGAATGAGTGGGGTGGAATAGCCCCTGTATCCATTTCCCTTTCACATGATGTATACTATTCCTTGTGTAAACGAATAAAATCTTAACTCTTTAAAAATATATTGTACTATTTTCTGATATCAAGAAATTTAGTAATGAATATGTAATAAAGTATGTTACACTGTATATTACACAGAGATCAAACATTAACAGATGTCCTCATATCACATTGTTTTATTATTAAAATGTTCACTGTATTTGTGCTTTTTTTTAATAATTTAACAGCTTTTATGATCAACAGTTTCTCTCCATCATCTGCCTCCATCTTTCCAAACCAGGCTCCTATTTGAAAATCATTTTATGAAGCAGCTATTATTACGATTTTTCTGCCGCCATCAGTGTCAGTACTTCCTCATCTCATCAGCCCGGTTTTCCCCCTCAGAACCAGAAGCCTACCTCGGAGGAGATCCTGCTGATGGCGGAGCAGCTCAACATGGAGAAGGAGGTGATTCGTGTTTGGTTCTGCAACCGCAGGCAGAAAGAGAAACGCATCAACCCCTCCAGCAGCACCACCCCTCCCCTGCCCAGCCAGACCTCGCCTGTTGTGACGCACAAAGCCTCCTGCTACAGCCCGCACATGGTACAGTCCGCCATGAGTCCACTAACTCTTCACTACTTTGACACTTTTTTTTCTGTGTGTAATTTTGGAGGTTGACCTGATATTTGTTTCCTAATTTCTTCTTTCCAGATTTCGAGTCAGGGTCTGTCCCAGGTCACCACCAGCCTCAGCACAACAGGTGAGCTGTAATTACTGTTTGTGCCCGTGTAGAGTCTCGTCAATGAATTATTAAAGGTTGGAGCTGAGCTTCTCAGTTGTGTTTTTGGAACCCAGAGGTCGGTCACAGGAAGATTAAACTGGTCCTGACGTTATTTGGAAGAAGTTGATATTTTTGTTTTGTCAGAGTCTTTCACTGGTTTGATGAAACACTTAAAAAAATGAAAAGTTAAAAAATGATTTCTGTGAGAGAGAGACTGAAATAGAAAACAATGATGTTTTGTTGACACTAACATGGAAGCACTGGTCCCATCTTGAGTTGTTTACCTCCATGAGTCATGACTCGTCCTCGTGATTTATGGACCTTGGCTACAGTGTGAGCTATCGCAGGCTTCACAGACATGACAGATGACCTGACAGGTAACAAACACAGCTGGAAATTTATTGGCCCGTTGAGCCGAGGCTAATACTTTTCAGTCACAAACTTCTCCCTGTAGTCTGAAGTTGAATGGAGTCAAAGAAGACACTCAGAGAGGTCAGGATCTTAGCTGCTGATGTACTGTGTCACCAAAGTTTTGACTTGGTAATAATGCTGTAATTCATCTGCCAACAAACCTACTACACGGCATCAATATCATTTTTTTTTTCTCCTCTCAGCTGGCAGTTCGTCACCCTCATGCCCCATGACTCCCGTCAGCTCGGCCGCAGTCGGCTCCACCTCTTCCTCTGTGACTCCACCTCCTCATAGCACAGCCAGCCCCGCCCCTCCCGGCCTCGGGGCCCACGGGCTCAACACTGGGTGAGTGTCGATAATGCTGCATTTTTACAAAACATCAGGGTTGTCGGTCACAACAACTTTGTTCCAAGAAGGTTTGAATATACTGAACTAGTTCAGCTAGTACTCGTGAAAACCACCACCACCATGACATTTTAAAGACTAAATCGGTGGCTGCCAACCTTTTCCAACTCATGGCCCACTTGAAAATATTGGTGGCCCACACAGGACCCCGTAACAATACAAGTATACAATGAAGTCCAGCCAAAAACAACTTAAAAGTTCCTATTAATGATAAATATACATTTTATTATAGGTGCCTTTCAAGGCACTCAAAGACACCTTACAACACACAGTAAAAGATGAAATGCAAGTACAAGGCATAAAATACAAAAAAAATTAGAATTAAGGATTGAAAAAAAATAAAAAATTGGCTTATGACATTGATAAACCTTAATACTAAAAAAAACTGTTTTAAAAAATGTTTAAATCTGTTAAAGACAATTTCATTTTCAGACATTTAAACATTATTTATATTTTCATTTTTTTGTAATTACATTTTTTCACGAAAAGCGTTCTGTTTTGTAAATTTGTCGGCCCACTTGCAATACTTGTGGCCCCCAGCCCACAGGTTGGGAACCACTGGACTAAGCAATTAATTAAAGACACATCAACATATGAACTGATCATGAACAGAATCATTAGTTGCAGCCCTGGGTTGAAGAAAGAATCAGAGCTTTCTTGTCGTCTCTTCTGTCCTGAATGAAAACACAAGATTCTGAGAGTTTGAGTTGTTTCTGAAAGAGTCAAACCTTCTGAACTCTTTTATTTATTTAATCTTTATTTAATCAGGCAGTCTCATCGGGATTAAATCTCTTTTTCAAGAGAGACCTGAGAACAAGAAACAGTCACAAAGACACAATCAAAGACAACAGAGCTACACAATGCAAGAAACTAAGAAACAAGGAATAAACAAAAACATTTACAAAAAGTCATAAAATACATCAAATAATAAAGATTTAAAATCTCCAAGGGAAATATAAGACTCTAGTTTGAGGGCAGTTCATTCCATTTAAATGGTGAATAGTACCTGAAACCAGTAGTAACTGGACTGTGTTCTGTGGATGTTAGATTTAAATTAGAGAAGAGATGTGAGGTCGTTTGAAGCTTTAACAGCAGCTCTTTATAGATGAATAACACGAGATGGTTGTTTCTTCCTGATGAAGAAATAATGACAGCCTCTTTAACTCGACTTTGCCTGTTACATGTGTAGCTGCCTGTTAGAGAGAAATCTGTGGTATTCAGCTGTTGATGGTATGTCATACTGCTGTCGCACCAGTTTGACTGAAATTCTGCAAGTTCACACACATCAAGAAAAAAAACCAAAAAAAAAACCCCACTATGTTATGAAATGTTTGTACAAGCTGTGACATGTAGTTAGAGAGAAAATATCAGGTGCTGAACAAAGACATGAGAAGCTGCTACTGTGTAAATGACACAAATTACACAAAAAACGTTCAGGTGTTCATTGTCGGTGAATACGTTGGGTTTTTATTAATCAATCTGCCAACTGTGTGTGTCTGTGTGTGTGCGTGCATGTGTATGTGAATTTGCGGTCGATCCACATTTCAGGAACACGATGATGGGAGTAAGCACAGGGATGAACCAGGCCCTCATTGGCAGCAATACCCTGGCTACCATGCAAGGTGTGTGTGCATGAGTGCGTGTGTGTGTGTGTGTGTGTGTGTGTGTGTGTGTGTGTGTGTAGGTGCATGCAGACTGTCCCCTGCAGCTCAGCTTCACAGTCTTCATGAGTCTCTATTTCTAAAAGACCACTTCCCATTTCACCCTTCATCCATTCTTGACCAAAATGAATTTCCGTGCAAAGCCTCAGACGACAGTAGCCGACAGCGAGCCCGCCGCACTCTCCTCCTCCTCAGCACAAACTTTTTGAATCACTCAGTATGATGAAAGATTCAATTTGAGTCTCATACAATAGCCTGCTATTATCACAAAGTGACAAGAGGCCCTTATGGCGAAGCTTAGGAGGCCAAGTCAGCTTACAGTAAACAGTTGAACAGACACAATCCCCTCCTCCTCAATATATCAAGGCCTGTTGGCTAAATAACCAGTTTCCACTCAAAATTCCCCTTTTTCAAAGAGACCATCTCCTGCCAAATCAATTAAGCATCACAAATAAGCTCAGCTTTGAATCCGTCATGTGCTCCATCTCCCTATAGCGCCGATTCAGACCTTCCTCTTTTTCTCCCGCTCTGTTCGCCGTCATTCAGAGCTGGCGTCCTCCGGGCCATGTGCTGATGAGAAGGATACAGTCTGTTATGGAAACTGCAGCTCTGGCACTGCCAACGCTGATAGAGTTAAAGGCTGAAGGAGAGAAGAAAGAGGAGGGTTTAGATGGAGTGTTGACGAGAAAGGATTGCTGCTTTGATTCCCTCTGGGCCACACGCGCTCTGAATGTTTACACACTGCTATAATGGAGAAAAGTGTTACACTGGAATTCAGAAGTCAGCAGGTGTCACTGTCTGTTGCACTGATAGATGGCTTGTTCTGCTATGTTTGTTTCTGCCATGTTATGCAATGATTAGTCCATTAATTGATTAGTCAATCAACAGAAAATTAATTGGTGACTTATTTGATTATAAAGTGATGTTTTTGAGCCTTCTTTTAAAGAATGCCAAAATTCTCAGGTTAATATTTCCTGGTTTTCTTTGTCCTCCATGACAGTAAATAAAATATCTTTGGAGATATTTGAAGATGTCACCTTGAGCTTTAGACATTTGTGATGGACGTATCACCATTTTATATTATTGGACACAGGTGCAACACAGTAGGGGCGGGGTCAGCAATCACAGGAGCGGGAAACACATGGAAGGGAAAAAATATTACAAGTTATTACATTAGTTATCACAAAGAGATGAGTTAAATGAACCTAAATGTGTGTGATTTGGTTAAAGACACAGTTCAGAGATACAGTAGTTTTGTGGAAATTTACTGTTCAAACTCAGAAACTAAGAAAAGGCTGAGGACAGACCTTTGTTATGTGTCTGGTTTAGGCTCAGGTCATGTCAAACAGCAGTATCAGACTATCCTGGCTCAACTGTTGAGTGTCTGTGGGATCAAATAACCTCATCATGATCCCATAGGTATCCAGGAATTGAGCGAAACAAAGGAAGTAAACTAAGGTGGGGTGAGGGGGGTGAGGGGGTGAGGGGAGGCCCACTGTCTCAGACTTTGAAAACCCCTGTTATAGACTAAATGATTAATGCATTAATTGAGAAAATAATCATCAGATGAATCAATAATATAAATAATTGTCAGTCATTGTAAAACTGGTAATAATGCGGATTCATCACAAAATATATACATTTTTAAGTTGCTACATGTTTTTCTATCAACAGTGTGGCACTGTCTGTGTTTTTTGTTTGCTGATACTCGGTGTTTGTGTGCAGACAGTCAGCAGATATAGGGTCGACGGAAAAGGTTCATTTTCACAATTTCACAAGCATCTGACTCACTCCATCACATCAACATGTTTAAGAGTGGAAGTGTGTGTGTTTGTGTGCATGTATATGTACATACATAGTAGATACCCATCCCTCATCTTCATTCATTGCTCCTAACTCTCATTTGTCTCCTTGCTTTATGGTTGATGGTTAATTATTTTTCATCACCATCTAAGCAGAAATAGAAAGAGCCAGTTCACTCAGAATACAAAAAATATATTTTCATACTTATCTCTAGTTGAATCTTGTTTTATTTGCCTCCAGTCCAACACAACAAAAACTCACAGCACTGACAAATTACATTTCAGAAATCAAAAATTCAAATGCAGTCTTCCATGTTACTAATCCACAAAACAACAGTTGACAGGTTTCTGTTTGGTAGTACAGACTGTTGTGGTTTTGGTGAACCGGCCCTTTAATCATTTCCATGTGGACTATTAAACTATAAAACTATACAACTATAGATTAGATGATGTATAAAACTGCTTCCCAGTTTGTCATCCCATTTAGTCAAAACCTCCCTCTGCAGTTTCTCCTCATCATCTTCATCTCCACCATCCACATCCAGGTTTTAAATGTTTCCCTGTTACTGATATGTTCACTGACTTGTCTTTACTTCCTCTTTTTCTATCCTCTACTTCTTTTTCTTTATTCACATTTTCTCTCCTTTTCATCCTGCTCTGCCTCCATTAATCACTCTCTCCATCCTTCTCTTCACCTCCTCCTCTGTCCCACCTCTGCCACCACATCTACATTTGTCCTGCTCTTTCTTTTACTCTTTCTTCTCTCTCTTTATCACTCTGTCACTACCTCATTACTTTTCTGTCCTTTACTTTGTCTATTTTTATCCCTCTTTCGTTTCTTGCTCTCCACCTTGCTCTGTTTCCATTGTCACTTTTTCATATCATCTCTTTGTCTTTTGTCTTCTCACCTTCATTTTCCCCTCTTCCTCCTCATTTCTTCTTGACCCTTGTCTTATCTCTTTAAATCATCCTCCCTTTCTCTCCTCTCTCCTCCTCTTGTCCTTCCTCCACACTCTTCCTCCCCTCATCTTCCGCTCTTCCTCCCCCACCAGCCCTGGCAGCCAGCACTGGTCAGCTGCCCATCTCCAGCCTTGAGGGGGGAGCGGGTCACATGCTTCTGGGCGGACCTGGAGGTCCCCCATCCCTCCGCCCCTCCCTCTTCCTCAACCGTCCAACCCTCCTCCCCATGGTGACCGGTTCCATGGCGACAGCCTCCACGCCCGCCATGGGACTGGTCAGCAGCAGCGGCGGCGGTGGGTGTGGCCCGAGGCCTTCCTTCTCCCAGTCTCAGCCGCCCGGCGACCTCATGAGCCCGACCTCGTGCCCCGAGGAGTCCGCCTCTCCTTGTTCAAGTCCCACCTCTTTCTGTTCCTTCAGCGAAGCCTCGCCGCCGCCCCTGGGAGGGGCCATGGCAGAGTGATCCCTGACTGACAGCCAAAGTATCCTATCAGAGGAGGACGAGGAGGAGGAGAAGGAGCGAGCAGAGTGTTAGAGGAGCTTTATAAATCTAAATTTACAACCTCGCCTTTCAACCAAAGCCATCTCTCTGTCTGATCCATCTCTGATTCGTCTCTCTCTGTCTCCCCGCTGACGTCTTCTGAAGCCAAAAATACACACAGATGAATGAGGGGAGGAAGCAAAGAGAGAGGGAGAAGGAGATGATAGAGAGAACTGCAGAACGGAGGGGAGAAATTTGAAACCAAATAATGATCTACAGCTGGAGAGGTGGCACTGGAGTGTCTTTGCTTGGCATCGGGGGAACGAACACCATGCTTTTTATCGGCTGGAGAAAAAAAAAACTCGATGAGGGCAGGGATGAGAAGTGAGACTGTGTGTGAGAGACGGGAGGCAAAAAGAAATGACTTGTTTAACAAGCTCAGACGGTTCAGGAAGGTGGCTGCAACCAAATTAAAAAAAAAAAGAAAAGATGCTAGAAGAGAAACACACACCTACAAAGATGAAAACCAAAATCTCCAAATACCAAAAACTGAAAACCAAAAAAAGACATAAAAAAAAAAACAATAAACGGAGAGAAAAGCTTTAGTTCAAAAAGACTTACATCCTGATCTGTCCAGGATCAGTTCAGTACATCATTCTACTTCATGCCAAACATTTTCCATTTCATTTATTTTGATTTTGATTCATGAAAACTTTTATTTTTCTATCATTTTGTATTAATCACTCTTTATTCTTGTCAAACACACAGGTTCATGTTTTACAGCTGATCCCACGCGCAGGGTGTCGACCTACCTCTCTCTTTACAGCTTTACCACCATGAATCTACCTTACATTACGACACAGTGTTTGTTTTATTCAGCCTGGAGTAGCAGACCGGTGGAGTTAACTACTATTCTTACTATAGCGTCAGGTGAGATGCCAATCCATACACACTGTAGTGTAAATATAAGTTTAAAGAGCTTTCCTGTGAATGCCTGCACTCTCTGGTGTGTGTTAAATCCAACTGTGTGGCAAAATCCACCCCTCTGGAACATGAATAGGCTAAAACCAACTGTACATGTTGGAAAATCCCATTTGATCCAGGTCTGTTTTCAGTTAAATTTACTATATTTAGCTGTTAGTATCAACATGAAAGGTCCACAGTGATTTTTAGGATTAATTACGTCTTAATTTGCTGTTTTCATCACCATCACCATCATCATTATCAATATTCTCATCGTATCTTTAATGTTTGTTCAAACCAAAGTACACACACCCGACAGCATTCATCCTGCCTACAGAGGAAACACACACCACAGGCAGATGTGGACAAACAGTCTCTGGAGTTTTTTTTTATTTCAGCGTTATTTGCCTTCTTTTATTTATTATCACCCCACACCATCGCCATGTCATTTTCCAGACTGCTCATCTACCACCAGACAGTCACTCTTCGATACCAAAGCATCGCCTCTGGCAGCGTTGTCTCTGGATTCGCCCGGGAGACGAGTGTCCAGACAAAAACCTCAGCAGTGTCAAAGGGAAAAAAACACACACATACACACACTACAAGCATAAGAAAGAATCCAAACCAAAAAAAAAAAAAAGAACAAAAGAAAGAGGTGAAGCACCGGCGTTCCCCTTACTGCCCCCAAACCCCTGCCCTCCATCCCTCCCTCCCATCTGCCCCTCTCCTTTGTCTCCAAAGATCAGATCAAAGGGCCAAAAGAAAAGAGGAGAAGAAGAAAAAGGAGGAGAAGGAGAAGTGGTCAGGAGCAGAGGAGCCAAAGGTTTGAAAAGCTGCAGGGGGAAAGCAAGAAGAGGAGGAGGAGGAGGAGGAGAAAAAGGAGGAAGAGGAGCAGGAGGAGGTGCGCTCAGAGCAGCGGACCAAAAAACCAAAAAGTAACCCAAAACCAAAAGCTACTACTACTGCTACTAGTAATGTATGAGTGACTGAACTGTAACTAAACCAAATACAAACAAAGAGGGGGAGGACGAGGGGAGAAAAGGGGGGAGTAAGGCCCTGTCTGTCTGTTCGTCTTTAACTGTGATTGCTGTTCTTGTATCGACAGACAGAAATCGTTCCCTCCCTCCCTCTGCCGGCGACCTCGGCTTTGTTCTCACTTTCTTTTTCCTGGATGGATAAAAATATGGAATAACCTCAACAAACTGACTTTGAGAATATATATATTTTTCTTTTTGCTTTCCATAGTGTGTCTGTTAATGATGTATGGATTTGTCTCATTGCTTTCTACTTATTATGCGGCCGGAAGGAGGGAGGGGTGGGGCCGGGGGTGGAGGGTGGGGGGGTGGGGGGGGGGGTTTTCCTTCGGGGGAGTGCGGGGCCAGGGAGGAGGAGGTGGTGGTGAAGGGTTTCATATCTTCTTGTCTCTTCGGTTGTGCTCTCAGTTTTTATTTTTGTTTACATTTGGAAATAACTGTGAAAATGTAGCTTCCAAGATAAAAAAGAAAAAAAAAACGTGTTTTAGTTCAGAATGTCGTGAAAAAGCCAAAACTGAAAAACCAAAAGCAAAACTTTTTAGACACATAACCATACCAAATAGAACAACCAAACCAATGCACAAGTTGTACGAGTGGCTAAAGCAAGAAGTGTGTGTGTGTGTGTGTGTGTGTGTGCGTGCGTGCGTGCGTGCGTGTGTGCGCGCGCGTGTGTGTGTGTGTGTGTGTGAGAGAGAGCATGTGTCTGTGTAAAGATAATTGTCTTGCATACAAACCAAACTGTAAAAACACACAACACACTTTCAAAGTAACATCAGTCAATTCTCATTCTAGACAGTGTGAAGCAGAACTCTGGTCATTTTCAACCTGGACCTGCTTTCATATAGCTTTCCAAATGATCACCAGTAAAGACGTGTGATTGGTCAGTAATAAAAACACAAGAAAGACTCATGAGCTCCCTTTGAAAAGCTTTAAAGTGAGAAAGAAAAGAGAAAACAGACCCAGGTTGAAACAAACAACAAAGGGTTCAGCTTCAACATAAACAGACACTGGTACTGAAGACAACCAATGATAAAGATGATATGGGGAGGGAAGTGGGGGGGTGCAGACCTCTGAGACAGATTAAAGGCTGTTAACGTCCACTTTTAGAGGGAATGTATCCATTAGTTCTCATAGGTTTTGTAGGGGGAAATAATATATGTTGAACTGCTCTTACTTGTTGCTGATGTATAAAAGGCTGGGACTATTATCCTCCATGATGATGACGACCGAAGACAACGACTTGATTTAAGAACCAAAAGCTTTAAAACTCTTTATCTCTCACGGGCTCTTTGTTGGAAAGAAAATATTTGTATTTATTGTATAAGGGAGGTGTGTGCTTTTTCGGGGATGGGGGGGAGCTGGGGGGGGCGTGGGTGGGGGGGGTCCGTTTGTATTTTATGAACTTCTTTGTCTCTCATGTTGTTTATTTATTGGTTCTTTATTTATGTATTTATTGGATTCTATTTAAGTCTTTCTGGATCTTTGTAATAGTTTTTTCAGGGGTTGTTGTGAGGCTTGTATCTGCAGAGAGGGGTGTTCTTGAGATCAAGACAAGAAGAGAAGATGCCAAACGAATGTTTCAAAGCAAAACCAAACCTAAAGACGCTGTGACCTGAGAGAGAGAGAGAGAGAGAGAGAGAGCAGGGAAACTGTGACAGAGGAAAATCACATTTTAGAATGAGCTGTGTGGGAAAATCATCTCCTGAAGTCCCATATTTGAAAAAAAAAAAAGTGTGTGACACTGTTTTATGATCTTCAGTCAGTGAGGTTTATTTTCCTGTTGCTACTGGTTTATATAATTTTGAATTTTGTCATTTTGGATCATCAGGTTTTCATTTGGAGCCGGTAGCACTAGCTCTTTGTTAGCTCAAGGTTAGCCTAGCTATAATTTAAGTGTTTACCAAATAGAGATTTACACGTTCAATTAAAAGGTTGCTCCACACAAACTAGCCCTTACATAGAGATGAATTGTTACTCAATATTTTCACCCACTAACTGACCGACAGTTGCTCAAAATACTGTGAGCTGTAATTGGGAAGATATTAAAATATATTTTACGAGTGGCTGCAGAAAGTTTTCAGACACTGAATCTACAGCCAGTCACAATGACAAAGTGCCAACATGTTTTAAGACATTTATATGAAAAATCAAAAGCCGAAATCTCTCATTTACAAAAGTGTTCAGACCTTTCATTGAGACTTTGTAGAAGCCTCTTTGGCAGCAGGTACAGCGTTGAGTCTTTACAGGCTTTGCACACCTGGATTTGGGCAGTTTATCCCATTCTTCCTGCAGATCCTCTCAGGCTCCGTCACTCTGGATGAGAAGCGTCTGTGATCGGACATCTTCAGGTCTCTCCACAGATATTCTGTGTGGTTTCATGGACAGTCAGAGACGTTCCCACTTTGCCACTCTAGTGTTGTCTTGGCTGCTTCAGGTCATTGAGAGGTCGTCCCGGTCTCAGGTCATCTGCACTCTGCAGCGCCTCTCTGTGTTTGACTGCCTTCATCCTTCCTTCATTTCTGAACAGTCTCCCTGTCCCTGCCGCTGATGCTGCATGTCACCATCATGCTTCACTGTAGGGATGGCATTAGCCAGCTGATGAGCAGCGCCTGGTGTTTCCAGACACAGTGTTTGGACTTCTGCCCAGAGAGTTCAATTGTTGTCTCATCAGAACAGAGAATCATTTTCCTCCTGCTCTTAGTCCCTTAAATGTGGTTTGGTAAACTCCAGCAGGCTTTCATATGAGTGTTACTCAAAGTGGCTTCTGTCTAACCTCTCTACCATGAAGGCCTGAGTGACGGAGAGCTGCTGAGACGGTCGTCCATCTCTGCAGAGGACTTCTGAAACTCTGTTAGAGTGGCCACCGGGCTCTTGGTCTCCTCCCTCACCAAAGCCCTTCTTACCTGGTTATTCAGTTTGGCTGGGCGACCGACTCTAGAAAGAGTGTGGGTGGTTCCAGACTTCTTCCATTTGTCAGTTATTGAG